TTAAACCTTCGAGTCATTTTGTTCTAAGGAAGACAGTAATAGACAAATTGGGTGTAGTTCTGAAGAAAAAGAATTTCATTTCCTTCGTTCGAATCTCTCTCTCTCTCTCTCTCCCCGCCCCCTCCATTCCCTTAAATGAGGCAGACTGTGGTTTAGAAAACATACACTTTTAGTATTCATAACGCGTGGAGTTTGCCAAAGTTTGGCGTCATCATTTCTAAAATAAGAAGTTATTTTCTTCTGCTTTCTTGGTGTCCCCTCTATTCCTGCTCCAAATGTGTAAGGACTAAAAACTGTCCCATGTGACATGGTTGGTGGCTTTTGCCTCCTCTGACAATGCTTTAAAAGAATGCCTTACAGATAAATTTCTTTTATACATACTGATATATAAATATTAAGTTTAGATAGTGATAAAAATTTTTCTTAACAAGTTTTCTAACAACTGAGGAGTACTACAGTACAAATTTATATTTGTTCTAACTGTAGACAGTCTTACCACTTTCAGGAGCCCACACTACTTCTCTCGGTAGCATCCCTCTGCTCTGTGGGAAGACTCTGCTGCCCACTGTAGTAGATACCCTAGCCCTCACCCTTGGGTGTAGGTAAGCTGTACACAAAAAGTCATAATGTCTTCTGTGATGAGTCACAGACATAGGGAAAAAAATGGTCTGGCACTGAGTCACCTTGGAAACTGGTTGTTCCATTTGTCTCTTGTGTGGCAAATTATTCCCAAATTTGGTAACTTTTCAGAAATCATTCCATTGTTTATTATTTTGGGTCAAGGCTGTCACTAGTCTGCGTGCTGAGTGCTGGGGCAGCTAGAAGGGAGTGTCCATTCCCAAAGTGGCTTCCCACTTGCATGTCTGCATCCTGGTGCTCCTTGGCCTCCTTCTCCCCCAGGGCAGTTTATCCAAGTCAGACTTCCTAGCTGCAGCTTAGAACTCATGTGGGAGCTGAGGGCTTCTCCATACCCAGCCACAAAAGTTCCAGGTGTCACTTCTATAGCATTTTGTGGTTTAGGCAAGTTCCTAAGGCAGACAGATTGAGAGGAAGACAAATTAGATTGCACCTCCTTGTCTAAAGAGCAGAAAGTTATGGGCCATAAATAGGAACTGATAGAAAACTCCTTCAGGGGATGAATGTTTTGTAAGTACTGGTTGCCCAAGAGCTACTTTGTATTCGAGGAGAAAAAGTAAAATGTTATACGTTGTTTGTTCTGCTTTGTGTTTGAATTTTGCCTTAATATCCTGAAATCAGTGAGGCTGGCTTTGACTCCCTGTTGATTAATTATGATGGAATGGCAAGAGGGAGCTCATAGGTGGGAGAAAGTTTTTTGGAATGAGGGACTGGGAATCTGGCAGTGCTGTAGACTAATAGGAAACCCAAGAGGAGAAGGGTGTTTGACCAAAGTATCAGGATACTTTAGACTACAGGTAACAAAATGCAAAGTGCCCAACCAAAATCAGCCTAAAATACACATTTCTATTAGAAGACTGGGGATAGGTAGTTCTAGGTTTGGCTCAGCATCTCAAAGATATCATGCTGTCAGTCACCTTTTCTGAGTCTTTTGACATACTGTCAGTCAACTTCTCTTGAGAGTCTTTTGATACCCCTCTTATGTTGCAAGATAACCACCTCAGCTTCATCACCATATCATTATAGTAATGACAGAGAAAGAAAGAGTCTCTTCTGATGTCTTTCATCCCCAGGAACCTGACAACAGATTTCTGTTGAGTCCCACTGGCCAGAATACAGCTACATGTTCATGGGCTAGCCTCTGGGAGAGCTGGGTTAGAATTGGTCAGGCTTTCCCAGGGAAGCGAGGAGAAAGACATTAAGTGGCACCAGCCTGGCTGCCACAGAGTCATATGCCCCCTACCCCAAATGGGCAAAGTCTTAACTATAAAAATTAATATTTTCTAGAAACCAGTTAATTTCTCTATTGACTTTCTCTTGTTTACTTTGTGTTTGAGAGCTACTCCCATTTCCTCTTAACAAATAAAAGAATTAATTTTCCCACATACTTTAAAATTTGAATGAAAGCTCTTTGGCTGCCATGAAGATGGGTTTCCTGGTGATATCTTGTAGGATTGCCCTCCTGCTGTCATTACTTACTTCATACCCCTCTAAGTGCCTTTGTGTGCATATAGGTTTACATAAGGAAGGACTCTAGGCAGGAGCATGCTTGTTTTAGAGTCTGGAGACTTAGAGAACTCCCTGACCTTTTTTAGTTGTAAGTTGGACCAGGACACCAATTTTAACTATTCTAATTCCTGAATGGCAAAGGCTGGCTGAACTGAGCCGAGTCAGTAACACAGTAGCATAGAACTGAGAAAACCCAGATCCTCAACTAAGAAGAAAACACCTTGATCCAAAAGGGCCTGGTGTGGGAGAGTGGGGAAGGTTGCCGCCTTCTCTGCACAGCTGCATGAGAGAAACGGTGTCTATGTCTATCCCACATGCTGCTAGGGCCCATTTTCTTCATGATGTTAAAAGGCTGAGTTTTCAAAGTAAGCTTGTAGGAAGATCATAACATTATGTTACAGAAATTGTACTTGAACTGAATTACAGTGAATGTCAAAAGAAGGCCTATCTACCTATCCTCCTTTCTGATATTTCAGAAATAGATTTCAAAACAAATGTTTTGGAGAAATTTTTATTTCCAAAATACCTGAAACAATTGACTCACGTCAGTGATATCTATTTCTAAAAGTGATTTTTTTTCATTGCCATATTTCTGATTAGTATATTATAACTGTACATAATGGTGGGATTTGTTGTTACATTATTCATACATGGACCCAACATAACAGTATAATTTGGCCAATATCGTTCCTCAATATTTCCCCTTTCCCTCCCCTTTTCTTTCCCCCTGCTTGGTTTCCTCTACTATCTCTTCCAATTTTCCTGAGGCCTTCCCTACCAGGAAGTCGTATTTTAAGTGTTAAAAAATATTGTTAAAAAATTGATACTTCTAGTAAAAGAAGGGGGGATGAATGCTTTATGTACTTATAGACCACTGTATAAGAACCCAAGTGAGAAAGTGAAAATTGATCTCCGGCTAGATAGCTCCTACACTTTCCCCAAGCCACCTAAATCTGACCCCACCCTAGTGTTTAATATACACAGACAAGATCATGCAAGCCCTAAATCATGTAATCAGGGAAATCTGCACCTCTCCATCAACTTCTGAGGATCTTAGTGGTGGCCTTAGTTTCCCTAGTTTTGACTGCCACCTTTTGCTCCAAAATTTCAGTTCTGAATTAAGTCTCAGTATTCTCAGGCTAACTCATCACCATACTCTGCACCATGCAGGTGCAGCTGGTATGTGGGCTTCTGAATAGGCAGGACTCCTCTCTGGCATTGCCTCAGAGAAATCCCTGCCAGCACTGGAAGGGACTTCCAGGTGGATGTCACTGACTCAAAGTGCACCAGCCAGCCCCCTACAAGGCTTGCATTATGTGTGTTGCCTCAGAGCCACTCGCCACTACTTAGGGCTTGTGTCTCTCTTCTCTCATTTTCCCATCTTCCCCAAATCTTCATATTATAGTTTAGCAGTCTTCCCCAGCTTTACTGAGATATAACTGAAAATTGTATATTGCAAGGTACCCAGCATGATGATTTGATATATGTATACATTATAAAATGATTTCCACAATCGAGTTAAATTATATGTCTACCACGTCCACCTATGTCACATTGAAAATAGTTCTTTATAAATTTGGCTTTCAGACAGTGTTACACCAGCACTATGGAATTTATCTGATTCAGATCAATGAAAATTTAGAAGATTTTATTTGTTAATGAAGTTAAATAGTTTAAGAACTATTTTTCAGATTCCTGAACTTATTAAACATCTGTATTATCTTTAATACTTTTATTATCTTCATAATAACTTGTAAAATAAAACATCAATTCAATCACAAAGTTCCTTAGGGCAAGTGATTAAATAACCATGAGATTAACCAGGTTCACTTCAAAGATGATTTGGAATGTTGTACTATTTATTGCTCTAGGCAATTATAGTAGTCAAATATAAATGTTCACAGAGTACATTTTCATTAACATGCTGTATATATCCAGCTACTTCCATATGTTTTCTGGATTTCACACAATGTCATCATTAAATAAATATTTAATAGAAAGGTTTATTAAAGTTTTATTATACTTAAAAGAGTAGAAATGAAGATAGATTAAGTTAAAAGTAATGGAGAAATGTAATTGAAATAACTTGGAAGTACAATTTAAATCAATACCTTTCTTAATTTAGAAATATTAAAAGTATATGACCACAATTTAAGATGTGTTTAAATATATCATTATGGAGAAAATAAGAGCAATATTTTATCTCACTATTTCTATGTTATTTGAATAAGAATATTAATTGTTCTTAGTCTAAAACAGAAAAAAAGACAAGTTAACTACCTTATTTATCAACTCATTAAATATACTGATGTGGCTGTCATTAGCACATGTGTATTATTACATAGAAATCCTTACAGAGCATTGACAATTTTTTTTTTCAGTGCTTATAATCAGTGCTTATAATACTGTGCTTACAATCTCTGTAACCTAGGAAAAATAACATAATGTTATTGACTTACCTATTGTGTGAAATACATTTTAAAATTTTAAATAAATCACTATATTCAATTTAAAAATTCTATCATTGAGTTTATATAAATGGAGAAACTATGTTTCTCTGGAAATGTGAAATCAAGTTGTGCAAGCTAGTAAAATAGCTTTGATTTGATTTAAATAAAATATTGTTCACATCAGGATATATGAAAAAAATAGAATTGTGACTATTGGCTCCTCTGTGATCCAGGGGACAGAGCACAGGGATAGACTCTTTGACTATGAAGAAAATGCTGTCCTGTGCTAGGTTTCCTGATAAAGTAATGAATCCTAACAAGAAACAGATTGTAATAATTTGTTAAAATGAACTTTTGATAAGTGTTTTATTTATTTGTTTGTTTGTTTGTTTATTTCATGATCAGGCTATCAGCTGCAAAGGTCAACACAGCATATCCTACACTTTGTCGAGAAATCAGACTGTGGTGGTCGAGTACACACATGATAAAGACACAGATATGTTTCAGGTAACATCTTTCTTTTCTAATTAAAGTGTTATTTTGCATTTTCCCTTTACTTGAATATTTTGATATGTGACTAGAACATCCAACACAGTAGTGTTTGATGATGTTGAGGGGGAAGAAGTTAGGATAATATAAAACTTATTCCTATTTAGTTTTTAAAAGATTTAAAAAATTTTAAAAATATAAAAAGAAATTATAAATGCCACATTGTCAGATCTCAGTGCAATAAAATAGGTATTAATGAGAATAAAAAAATTTTAAGCCAACCACTTTGAAAGCTAACATGAATATATTTATACTTTCTAAGTAACACTTGGGTCAAAATTTCAATTCTAGGCCTTTTAGAAAAAGCTGTGGGAACACTTTATAGCAAAAGTCAACATGATATAGCCAACATCTCACTTGTCTTCTAGAAAAACATAAAACTTAAATATTTTCATTATTAAAATATAAGAAAATAAATGAAGATAAAGGTACAATTCATTTCAGAAAGGTTTTTTTAATGACAATAATAAAATAATTAAGAACCTGTTTAACTAAGGATGGGCTCAGAAATAGTTTTAGTAGTACATAATTGCAAATTCAAAAATATACCAATAGAAAGCAAAAGGAAAGAAAGTCCTCAATTAATGAATAGAATTGATAAATAAATCCAAGATTTGGCACTTTAAAACAACGAAAATCAAAATTTGGGCTAATAAAAGAAAAGAAGCAAACATAAGTTGCAAACAATTAGGTTTTGCATTCTATGTGGAGAGTTAAATTCTTAAATAATGATGAAACAAATGTCAAAATGTTTGCTAGATACTGATGTCATACCCTATGCCAAAATAAACATTAAAGAGAGTAAGCATTTAAATGTGAAAATGAAAGAACAAAAGTCCTAGAACAAAATTTAGCTGAATTCATGTTTTTGGAATGGGGAAGATTTAGTAACAAATGAAAACATAGATTTTGCTACACAACTTCTTTGTGAATGTCAGGAAATTGAAAAGCATTTAAACTAGGGGACAATTTAGGCAACAAATCAAGTAGACAAAGGACTGGTGACTATAATATATTAACTGCCATTCACTAACCTGAAAAAAATGGACAATGAGCAAAACATGTAGTTTTCAAAAGAAGAAATATATCCAGGCACAGTGACGTACACCTGTAATCCCAGTGACTTGGGAGGCAGAGCTAGGAAGACTGCACATTCAAGGCCAGCCTCAGTAACTTAATGAGACCCTGACTCAAAATAAAAAATAAAAGGGGTGGGAATGTGTCTCAGTGGTTAAGCACCCCTGAGTTCAATTCCTGGTATTAAAAAAAAAGAAGAAGAAGAAAAGAAGGAAGGAGAGAAGGAAATGAAGGAATATAAATAACTAGTAAATATATTTGAAATTTTTAAAATGCCAAATAAATTAATAGTATAATACTTGATTACCTGTTAATTGGAAAGTGTAAACATAGCACTGTAAAGCCTTGTATGGAAATGACACAGCATTTGGCGCTGTGAATTGTGCAGTGTTACCAGTAATTTAAAACAATCAGACCTACTGGCCCAGTAATTCTATCACTATCAAGTTTTTATGCACAAATAATTAAGGAATATGAATAAAAATTTAACTACAAAGATATCCACACAGCATTGCATATACTAATAAAAATCTAGAAATAAATTGATACTCCAGTGTTGGATGAGAATGGTTACAGTAGGGTACCTTTAAATGCAAAATACCATGTAGCCATTGAATGATTATTAAATAAGAAATACAATAAAATGAGTTTAAAAAGCATATGTACACACATATACGTGGATAAACATGTACATGAAAGAGAAATGTACTGGAAAGAAATGCCCCAGCTCTTTTACCCTATTTTCTGTAACATCATGGAGTGCATTCCTAACCTGGACCACCTATGTCAGATCTTTTAAATAAAAGAGAAATAAAAATCTAAAATAAAATTGTCTGCTTCCTTTAAAAATTCTCTCAAAATTTGGGAGTAATACTACTTTTTCTTTTGTTCATCAAATTAAAAATTAGTGGCAAAAATGCAATAAATTAGCCACCTGGTGGAAAAAATGTTTTAGCATCTAATGCCATCAAATTTCAAATTAAAGATTCAAAGTATTTTTCTAAAAAATTCAAAGTATTAGAAGAAAACATGAGGAATTATTATTTAACTTCAAGTTAGGAAGAACTTTCTAATTCTTAAACAGAACCCACAAAGCACAAAAGAAATGATTAATAAATATTGGGCTTTAGATAGATAAATTTCTGTGTGGCCAAAATATAATAAAAGTAAAAAAAAAAAGATAAATGGGAAAATATTTACAATTCATATTACAAAGGGTCTCAAACATGTGAGGTCCTCCTAGAAATCACTAAGAAAAGACCTGCAGTTGAATAGGTTAATTAGCAAGGAACCAGACAGGGAAAAGGAAATATGTCTTAGAAATAAGAAAGTGCATTGAACTTCACTTTTTAAAAAAGGAAATGTGAGAAAATCACACAGAGATAATATTTTTTACTTACCAGATTAGAACAAATCTAGAAGGTTTTGTCAAGGATTTGGGGAAATAGACACTCTTTTATCTGCCATAAATTGATATAACCTCTGTGGGATAGTGATTTAGAAATGACTATGAAAAATATTAAATACTTACATATGTTGACTCAGCTCCTGTCTTTATAATGCTCTTCTATTTCTCGAGATTCAGCTCAGAGATATCAGTACATAAATGCAAAATGACTTTGTACAAAGTTCTTGCTCAAAGCATTTACTTAAAAAGCACCATGGAAGTGTTTCAAGGAATTAATTAATTTAAAAATATGAATATGCTATTCATTTGTATTTTGTGGTATTTATAATATTTTAAATTTATAGTTTGTTGTGATTTTTTATTTATTGTAAATAGATGCTTTCTCTCATTAAAAAAAAACTAAAAACTAGAAACAACTGTAAAGTCCTTTAGTAGGAGACCAGGTCAGTAAATCTGAGAAGAGCCGTACAGTGGACTTCTCCATGACTATAGCAAAGAAAGGCTCTATGTATAGACTCAAAAAAAAGTTCTAAACATATAAAATGGAATAAAATTAATATTATTAAATACATTGAGTCCTACTGATATGTTAGATTCAATTAAGATTGTTTGATGTTAAATATTAGTAAATAATGATGTTAAATGTTAAATATCACATTAATAATAAATATTTCAACAGTTATTAAATGTTAAATTAGTATTGTTAATGGTTCAAATAATGCTTATATGAGTTAAAAATCTCCCAAAAGGTAAACAAGACATTCGCAAAGCAGTGGGGAAGGGGGCCTGGGCAGAGGGTATGCAGGAAGATAGTTCATACTTTTTGATTTTGGAACCATATGGATGTGTTAGTTGTTTTAAAAAAATAATCTTAGATGAAAGACATGGTCATAAAATAAACATAGTATTCTAAGTGCCACTTTGGACTCAAAAGTAAGATTCATCTTATTTAAGCAAAATGGTAATGGTAATTTTACTCTCTATGCCTTTCTATTATATAACCTTCTAAATGTCCTTTCTTCTCAATCTACCAAAGAAAACCTCTTTCTAAATAGGAGGATACTCTCCTATTCTTCCCTGATGGTATTTTTATGGAACTTTATCATGATTTTTTAAATATTTAACAAAATTATGCATTTTCTACTTATAAGCTTTTTTATAGTAAAGATCATAAGATTTTTATGTAAATAGGGGAAATTCCTACAAATGAATCAAAACTATGTTACCATTGTCACCACTAAAATCAATAATTTCAAGTACTACTAAAACATAAGACATTGAATTTTTTTAAAGATTACTTAGCAAATTTCATGTAGTATTCTTTAGTGACATGTTGTGACATAGTGTGTTCTACACTATTATACAATTACATTCTATTCTCATTATTCACTTCCTACCTTCTCATCTCTGCAGAATGAATTAAAGTTTTAGTTGGATTTTTTAGTTTCCTGTTATTAATTTTCAAGTGCTTCATTTTGTTACACAGAGTATTAGAGCACTCAAGATTTAATAAAATTAATAGGCTTTTTTTTTAACTGCAAGTGCATGGCAGCAAAGATTGCAGTGACCATTAGCATACTCTGGTGTACTGCCTTGAGTTGCTAAAGCACTTTCTCTGTTAGCCACTGTAGCTTTAGCATCCTTCCTGCAAACACCAGTACTGGAGAGGCAGTGGCAATCTTTGTATGATATGGACCTGGATCCCTTGACATGGGCTAAGGGACAACCCTCAAGGTTTCGTGGACTGTGCTCTAGTTTACACCACCTTGTTAATTTCATAGATTAGAAATATGGTTCTTCAAAAGAAAAAGTAACTCAAATTAAACTCAGAGAAGGCATTAGTAACAGCAATAAGATTTAGGTCTCCTGAGTTCTTGGTCCTCTACACAGTACTAATGCAACCTCTTTAAAAACATAGTAAGCTGAAAAGAATTCGTATATTTCTTGAGACATAACATGTTTTTCATTTTTACTCAAGTGATCAGATTCCATGCACAGGCTAACTGGATGTGTTAGAGGATTAATGTCAGAACATTTGAAGTAACTCTTAGAAGACCTTGAGAAGGCAAGCTTGTTTTCATGTTTACCTCCTCATAACAAGTTATATGTCCAAAGCCCAAGTATGGACCTTGATGTAGAGAGCCGTTCATGTTAGTTGCTCCCGTTAGAGTGATATCTAGGTTAACTGAGTATTTAAAAGAAGAATACCAGAAAAGGACCTTGTACTGCATGTCCCATAGTGGAAGCAGAGAGTAGGCTCAGAGCTTAGCAATATTACTAGCTGAGGGGGGAAAAGAAAATCAAAATTAGCTCTGGATTTAAGGGAGCAGGATTAAGGGCAAGAAAATCTGAATTAATATGGTCAAATAAGATCTTAGTAATTATTTTCTGGAGTAGAGGTAAAAAAAAAAAAGAAAGAAAAAGGAGTCTGCAATAAAGTAAAATATAAACAAAGTTTGTGGGAGGGATCAGAGGAAGTGACAGATGTCTTACCAAGTCCCTCAGATGAAGTGAGATACCACATGAGGTCTGACTCCACAGCTGGGGCTAAGTGCTTTTTCCCTCTGACTTCTCAGTTTCAGTCTGTGAACCTGGGTGCTGCAGTGCCTCACATTTTGGGTTTCTTCTTGTTTGTTTTTTAATTGACTTGGTTTATTTCAGTTTGTGATGATAGCATTTAATTAAGATCCATTTAGTTAGAGAAAATGTTAAAGAATATCTGCATTTTTCAGTAGTTATTTCTTTAAAATGTACTTAAAATTGCACCTCCAGGGCTCATGTGTATGTGCATGTATCTCAGAGGATTCAAACTCACTGTCAGAACCCCCCCAGTCATCATTGTATTTCTTGGGCATCTATTGTGTTGTATACTCATCTGGGTCCTGCAGCTAAAAAGCTGAGGCTCCCTCTTGTGCATGCAGCCTGTGTTCTGGAAGAGGGAGAGAGACATTTCGTCAGAGAAAGCAGCAAGTGGAAGAGCTCCAGGTCAAGAGCAGAATCAAGGAAGAGGGAGTAAAATTAGATGAACTTGGAGCGGCCAATAGAAGCTGAGAAGGAAGACCTTCAGGTCAGGTCAGGAGTCTGGGTTTTATCCTAGGAGTTTTAGAAAGCTGTTACAAAGATTTTAAACAGGAGAGAGATAATCTCTTTTTTATATTTTTGAGATATCTCTGTGTATGGAGAATAGTCTAGGAGTCAAGGATGAAAAAAGGGATTTGGGAGGCTAAGGTAATGGAGTCCAAGTAAGAGATGGTGATGACTGGATGAGATGGGGAAAATGGGAAGATAGAAGGTATAATTGGAGGTACAGTGGATGAGGTTTACAGAGGGATAATGTGGACAGGGAAGAATGAGAAGAATCAGGATAATTCTTAGGTTTTTACTGAGCTAATTGAATGCCAGTCAGTTTTTGAAAGGGAAAAATCTAAGGGTTGAAGGTGGATCAGTGTTCTGTTTGAAGCATGTTATATTTGAGATGCTTATTAGAACTAAGTGGAGATTGGGTGTGTCAGTCTGAAAACTCAGGGGAGAGATCAGGACTTTTTGACTAATGAATGGAATTTGATGAGATTGCCTAGAGAAAGAACAGAAAGAGGAGGAAGGTGACTGGACATATTTTGCCACTTTAATACCAGGGACAGATGTGCTGGCTGATTATAACCTCTGGATTTAGCAGTGTATTAGTCATGGGAACCTTAGTATGAGTGGATTCAGTAGAGGTGAGGGGAGGGAATCCCAGCTGGGGTGGGTTTAGGAAGGAGTTAGAGATGGGCAAGGAAAAGGAGGTGGTATCTGATGACAGATTTCCCAGGAAGTATTGCTGATCAGTGAATCTGAGACACAGGAGGAGGAAAGCTTTCTCAAGAAGAGAGATTAGTGTTGCAAAGCTGTTGTCACTGTGCTCTATGAGCAGCAAAATGTTTGTAACAGTACAGAAAGTGATAGGCTGGAAATTGAAATTTTTATAGCATTTTGGCATTGCTGAGACATGCAAGCAAAGAACCATTTTTCTACTGCTTGTTTTTTATTATTTTTTAAAGGTATCAGTGAATTTTTAACAAAAACAAGTCTGCTCCTCCAGCCATAGTTTGAGAAGTTCCAGAGATAGGATCCAGTATGAAGGAGTGAGTAGTAATTCAGGAGAGAGGGACAAGCAGAAGCAAAATCCACAGGAAGGGAAGACTGTTGACTACCAGGCTCTGTGCAGAGATGGGTCTTGGGTAGTAGCAGCAATAGTTGAGTCTTATCGTAAGAGTGAGGCTGTAAAATAAAGGGGGAGGGGAGGAGAAATGAGGGACACACTCCCGGTGCTTCATGCCACCCTGCTTGAGCTGGCCTCAACCAGCATCCAGGCAAACCCTTACTTTTCTGATGTGCGCGCGCGCACGCACACACACACACACACACACACACACACACCTACCTATATATTTTAAAATACATTGGTTGGAGTAAAATATTTGCTACCACTACTATTTGAAAACTAGCACTCTGACTCTCAAAATGAAATTCAGAAGCATTTTGGCCTCTGTACTATATGAATATCAGATGAAATTCATAAACATCTTGGCCTGTCTTACAAGATTGCCTTTAAAAAAAAAAGAGAGTGGAGCTGATCTAGCAGCGAAAAGAAAGGCATGCTGCAGACTTTCCACACTGAGTGAGTTTTCAGTAGGAAAGTAACTTAGATATTTTTTTGGACAAAAGCAGCATGTGGTTTGTGTCCTAAAGTATAAATTTTACTAGAACTCCAGAGGTTAGATGTAAATGAAAGTGAATTGATGAAAAAATCTTATCTGGCCAGTCAGATAAGATCATGGCTTAAAATAATGGATCCTAGCAGAATGTTCCAGTTGGATTAAATATCATGTTTTAGAGTCAATTTCCATTAATTCATGAAGAAATTAATGTAATAAATTTGGATGAATTCAGGAAGGAGCAAAGGTTGAGGATATAGATCGGTAGTAGAACACTTGCCTAGCATGCATGAGGCCCTGGGTTCGATCCCCAGTGCTGTAAATAAGAAAAAATAAAATAAATAAGAGAGAAGAGAAGGAGTAATTGTGTGGCATTCTAAAAGAGCACAGTTTAGCTTTGAGCTTAAAAATTGAGAAATGAACATGGCTTGATATAGCTGTGCCTTAGAAGGCAGTTAGGACACAGACTGTCATTTGTGGGGCCTCCTGTTTTGTGAGATGACCAGGGGATTTTGAACTTTTCAATTTATTTCACTCCTAAACTATATTGAAACAGAGGTTCAGGACAGGTACTGGAGTAGGCCTTTTTTTCTCCTATATGCTTTTCTGTGTTTGTTAAATATTTTGCAATAAGTATTTGTTACTTTTCTAATTGTTTTTATTATAACTTTTGTGGAGGAAAAAAATCACAGCATCATGAACCAATAGAAATACCGAGCTACACATCCAGCTTCTAAATGAATCTAGCAAGATTGTACAATCTGAGAAAGATAAATTGTATGATTTGAGTTTATAATCTCCCTAATTTAGATGTTGTATTTTTTTAATGAGTCATATTTTTTTAAACCTGAAATGCACATATTCAGGCATTATACATCTGTTCAAGTTGATGAGTTTCAGTAAAACCAGAGGTTTAGTTTATTCCAGGCACATTTCATTAGAACAAGAAATTAAGAGTTGTAAAAAAAAAAAATGAGAAAATCGAGCTTGTTGTTTTGGTTTTATAGGGTTAGACAATGCATGAGAAAGTGTATGAGAGATTTAAAAAAGAAACAGTAATATTGTTTCAGGAAGCAAGCAGAGCTAAGTGATACAAGATATTTTCTCTTTACTTCATTCATTTGGATAAAAAATTATTTTACATTGCTTATGTTTTAAACGGAATTTTATGATAAGAATAAAAATACCTTAGAAATTGACTTTCAGAGCCTTGTACATATATCTCAGAACTCCGGTGTACCCTCCATTAGCAACTTCAGAATCAATGTTGCTGAGAGAGGACATTAAAATTATATTTGGTGAAAAATTCTTCATTTACATATAAGTGATTTTTATTTAAGAAGGCTTTTTGGTACATAATAACATTTATCACTTTTCAAGTTATACATTCATAAAACATCATTATATAAATGTTTTAAATTCTATCTTGAGGATTTCCTTAGTTTAAACAAATACAATTTCCTAGTTCACAGAGAAAGCAGTACCTGTTTTATTTGAATTTACTGAATAGGAAAAGCTTTGTTAAAGAACTCTTAAGATCTTCCTAATGAAATGTATTCTTTCTGGAAGCATTTAAATCTTGCCAAGCAGAGTAAACCAATATAACAATATTAGCAACTTTTTAGATTTTCCCCAGAGAAGTGTTTTTTCCCCAAAAAAATCCAAACTTGAAATGCCAAGACCAGCTTTTTAAGTAAGTCTTTTATTTGGCTACATCCCAAGCTTTTGGCTGACTTGTATAAGCCCTTTATATGATTCTCAGACACACTGAGTAATGGCAGTAGACATTTTTACTCTGCATGTAGGTACGGGCTGTTGCTGCTTAGTGCTGTGAGTCACCATTGGATTTACTTAGGAAAGCCATTCTCAGGAGCTGAGCAAGAAGAGGGAGGCAAGAGTTCCTTTGTTTATTTAAAAACTTGCTTTTCTCTAGATATAGAAAAAATTTTTTTCAAAGAATTATTTGCTATGAAAGTGCTTTTTCTACCCAGAACCAGGAGATAATCTAATGTGTGGAGGATGATCTAATATTTTCCTCCAGAGTAGAAAATTAATCTTTCTCTTATTATTTAAAATCTGATGGTCTAAGCAACAGGCATAGCATTTCAATTAAGAAAGATAAAAACATTCTAGAGATCTGCTAAATGATATGTGTGTCTGTGTACAATAATTCCAGTATTGTGCATTCAAATATGTGGTGAGGGTAGATCTGATATTAAGTTTTCTTACCACGATAAAATAAAATTGATAAAGTTTTTTAAAAATCTAGAGATGGGGTACCATAATTTCTTCCCCTTAGTTAAATAGGAAAAAGAATACAACTGAAAGTTTTTTACTAAATTCCGATCCTCAGGGCAGAGATAATGAATGTTGAAGGGCTTCTGAACACCCATCACATGTGAAAAAAGTATGGTAACCTGACTTTTTAAGCAAATCATGAGTGTGTTTGATTCACTCAGGTGGGCAGATCAACAGAAAGCCCTATTGACTTCGTGGTCACAGACACCATTTCTGGTGGTCAGAACAATGATGAAGCCCAGATCACTCAAAGCACCATATCAAGGTTTGCTTGCAGGATTGTGTGTGACAGAAATGAACCTTATACGGCGCGGATATTTGCAGCTGGCTTTGACTCTTCCAAAAACATATTTCTTGGAGTAAGTACTGGTAATAATTACAAATTTCAGGAAAAATACTCATTATTAGATATAGAACATTTAATGGAGACCAAAAATTTGCTTGTGGTGCTTCTAGTTAGATTTTGAGATTTTAGTTTTCAGGTGGCCAGTTTGAAAAACTGTTTTTAAAAATTCATTTAATCTGGCTCCAGTGGCTTAGACAGGAGGTTCACAAGTTCAAGACTACCGTCAGTAATTTAGCGAGGCCCTAAGAAACTTAGGGAGACCCTGTCTCAAAATTAAAAAATAAAAAGGGTTGGGGATGTGACTTAGTGGTGAAGATCCTCTGGGTTCAATCAGCAGTACCAGAAAAAAACTCCAATCAATGATTAGATGATTAATAGTGTTTTGTAAGAAAACAAAATGGCTACGGCTTGTTGGCTTAATATATTTTGAAATTTTGTACCTTTAATAAAGTCATTTTTTCATGATTATTCTTTTTCCTATATCCAAAGATTAAACAAACAACAGTCATTGCTTGTTATTTGTTATGTTTGCTCTGTCAACTATAATATGTACATTAACTACTTTTTAAAGTGTATATATTACCATTATGCATATGTATTTATGGTGGATTTAAGAGGTTTATTTCAGGAGGAAAAAAGTAGCCAGATCTAGATAATTACAGTCCAAGGAAAATGTTAGTGAGTTATTCATTCACTCATAAATGTTTTCCTAAGTGTTTTCTGTGTTCCATACTGAATTATAGATATGGTCTCACCGAGAATTAAAAAGTCCATGCCTTTATAAGTTTCCTTATAAATGAGCCCCCCAAATTTTATTGAATGATCAGTTTTAATATACTTCCCTCTCAAATCAATTTGCAGGATAGGAAAAAGAAAAGAAGAGGGGAATTGCAGTGGCACAGGCAACCAAGAGTGTCTGTCTTGCCACTTATGCCTTCTGCCTTTGAGTATATAAATGCTGATTTGTAAGAAGACAAAATGGCCATTATTTGTTGGCTTAATGTTTTTTGAAATTTTGTACCTTTAATAAAGTCATTTTTTCTTGACTCTACTTCTTTCTATATCCAAATAATGAATGCATGTAAAGCATTTTTAGGAAATAGGATAAAAGCACGGCACAAGTGCAACCGAAGAAAGAAAACAGATTCTTGGATTCATGCAGGGTATGGGGGAATCTGATGGAGAAGCCCAGGCATCAGGGATTTTTCTTAAGCTCCTGAAGTGAATATAATGTATATCTAGTGATAAATAATTTATCTATTTTACCACATCTTTCATATTGTCAGAATAATTGCATATTTTATCCTATTATTATTAGCTTTAAATAGCTCCCCTGTACCCCTACTAGTATTTTAAAGAGACCCCCAATTCCCTCATTTTGAATGTTACCTTAATGTATTTTTTTATGGTCTGTGATGTACTCTCCAGGAAAAAGCAGCAAAGTGGAAAAACCCTGATGGCCACATGGATGGGCTCACTACAAATGGTGTCCTGGTGATGCATCCCAGGGGGGGCTTCACTGAGGAGTCTCAGCCTGGGGTCTGGCGTGAGATCTCTGTCTGTGGAGATGTGTACACCTTGAGAGAAACCAGGTCAGCCCAGCAAAGGGGAAAGCTGGTAAGTGGGTCCTGCTCGAGGACACATACCAAACTACGGAAACTCACTTTGGACCGTCATTTTCCACTCCCCTGAAGCTCAGAAAACCTTTGTACAGGTCTAAGTGCCAAGCCCCCTGACCCACGAAAATGAGAATTCTTAAGTTCCGAAAGTTAGAAGGACATGGCCATCCTTGTGTTAATGTTTAAACTCGTTCATAGTGGCTGTAACTTACCTTTTGCTCCTTAGTATCTTAAGAGCATAATCATTTATTACCTACCACACTACAAAATTCTACTTAAATCCACTCTAAGGAAAATGAACTTACATTTAGAGTAAAGCTTTACTGATTTGCAAAAATCCTGAGTAATCCAGGACAAGTTGGTGACATTTTTTAATTAAAGAATGATACAGACTTTCTTGAACTAAGAATCAATTAAGTTTGCTTTTTACCCCTTAAGTTCATAGTAAGAAATGAATATAGAATTTGCTATATAATTTTTTCCAAAGTCATAGTTACAGCTTTTTACTTGATGATTCATATACTGTATTGACCTGGCTTGTTAATGCTTTCCTGCAGTTCTCACCACTTAGAGTCAGGCCCTAGAGCAGTTGGTTTGGACCCGTTTCTTCTCTGGAGATTAATTATAATACCTTAAATGGGAAGCTTTTGGTTTCTGATCTTGCCAAAAATTTGTGGCACAGCTTCCAAATAGTTCTTAGTACACTTCACAGTTTGGACTTCAGTTAATTGTTAAGTTGGAGCAAGAGGAAACAAATGCCTTTTCTAGATGCTAGAGAAGAGGAAGTTCTTCAAGATTCCCTTAGAAAAATATAGAGAATGGAGGATGTGAGCTAGCATTTTGCAGGGAGAAAAATGATAATCACATATTTCTATTATAGAGAAGATGGGATTCTTTTGCAGACCTGGTTTGCTATTCTCTCCAAGGTGTTTGTTTTAGCAGAGTTGTTGCTGTTATTTCTATTTCACACCATAGTTTAGCCATTGGCACAGCGTCTGCATCTATAGTAAAGCCTAGTCTTGGAGCATCATGGCTGAATGCATATGAAAAGCATTTTCCTAGAAAAGCCAACCAATTCAATAAGTTTTGTTAAATACTTTCCAAGAAATTATAAATAGGAAAGGTAATATGAATGCAATTTTTTCAAAAACCTTTTTTTTTCCTGGTTATCTGGTAGTTTTATATAAGACTGACCTAGATCGGCCGAACTGGCTATTAATCATTACAACAGCAAGAATTAGAAAGCAGCAAGTGGTTATTGGGTACTAGCATTATGTCAGCACTTCAGACTTCAGCTCATTTACCCTGTACCACAGCTCTCTAAGGAAAGAAGAATCAGTCCATTTTATGGCTAAGGAACATTTGGCATGGATAAGTTAAATGCTTCCAAGCTTCACAAGATTCAGAGGTGGCTATAGACAGGGTTTAAATTCAGCTCCTCCTGGCTGAGAGTCTGTGGTCCTAACTACCACTCAGTACCATCCCTTGGGAAGCCACACTTAGCTCTCACCAAGAGGGTTTGCACAGAGCATTTGCCTCCTGGTGATTAGAAAGCACATCCTGGACTCCACAGAGAGCTCCTTAGGTCAGGAGGGCATGCCACAGAGTATTCCTTATCCACTCTGGTCCTTATAACGTAGTTTAGGTAACTGTGTATACCAGGAAATTTTGCCAATGCTGCTGAAAAGAAGCCACTCCAAAAAATGGTTTCTGTTGATGGGTGGGTTGTAATAAAGAGAGACTAATTTTGAAATTAGTCCCTGTAAGTAATACATAGATATGTGTTAAACTGTAGACATCTTCCTCAAATCAGGAGTTCACAGCTCTTAGATTTTATACTTGAACATCCATTCCCAGTGCCTCTTAGCTATTGCCCCATGGTATTCTTGGTTGAGGCGCATTCATCCTCTTTGCCTAGAAAAAGAACCCACCCTAGCTGACTCTACCTCTTCTCCTAATCATTACAACAGCAAGAATTAGAAAGCAGCAAGTGGTTATTGGGTACTGGCCCCTCCACCATCTTTCAAACATGCAAACCGATTTTTACAAGGCCACCTAAACCTCCTCTGACTCCCTCAGGCATGCAAGACCAGCCAGCTCTTCAGCCTGGCCCAGCTGTGCCAAAGCCCCAGCCTGGTCACCTGGCTTTGACCTCAAGTTAACTGTTGTTCCCTCAGCACTTTCTGCTGAGCATTCTTGTGCTTCCTGCACGCGTGTGCCTTCCTTGTAGCCCACCTCCTGACTCCTGATGTCTTGCTCAAATCTCTGTTCAAGGAAAACACTTTTAAAAACCATTGCTCGCCTTCTAACTTCATTAAAGTAACAGCAGCATCTGTTTATGTAGTATTTACTGCTTGCCAAACCTTATCCTAGGAACTTTATTTGTATTAACTTATTTAACCCTCATGATCACCTTTTCTAAGTTTTACAAAGAAACTAAGGGATAGGGTGCTTCAGTAACCTGCCCAGGGTTATACAACTGCTAGGTGACAGAGTCAGGCTCAAACCCAAGTAGTAGGCTCCAGAGTCACAGTCTGAGCCACAATGAGGCTGTGGCCTCATGGCTTTTGACTGGCCCTTACTCACTCCTGGGTCTAGGAACGTCTGCTTCCCACTGAAGAAGAGGACTCTGTTTTCTTGATTTTGGTACCCTTAGGGCTTAGCATTATCTGGCACAAGGAGGCAGAGGTCAGACTCCTGCTGACCACGTCCAACAGTGCTGCTGTCAGCTGGTCATCAGTCTTGTAAGCACTTGGTACACAGCACAGACATCCTTTGAAAACAAAGGCTCATAGTGAAAGCTTCAGCTTGGTCCTTAGAAACGAGGATGAAGGACAGATTCAAGGTATGTGGGAAGCTAAATGTCGCCAGGAGAGTGTCAGACACTTCAGTAATGATTTCAGCCCCAAAGGATCTTCTGCATTGGCTCTGGTCTAAATGAGTATGAGTCTTTTCCACTTGTACTGGTGGCACATCTCTGTCCTTTAATGAGATCAATGACTAATTATATTATCGACTTAAGGAGTAAAAAAATAAGAGTCTAAGCTGAGCAGGGTGGTAAATGCCTGTAATCCCAAAAACTCAGGAGGCTGAGGCAGAAGGATCACAAGTTCAAGGCTAGCCTGGGCAATTTAGCAAGACATTGCCTCAAAAATGAAAATAAAAAGAAGTGCTGGGGATGTAGGTCAGTGATAGAGCACTTGCCTAGCATGTGTGAGGCCCTTCAATCCCCAGTAGCACCAAAAAAAAATAATTATTTTTTCAATTTAAAGAGATTTGTGAAGTTCATTAAAATAACCGCTGTATTAACTGAACCTAGGTGTTTTGTGCTCAAGGCTTTGCATCCTGGACATATATATTGTCTAATATTTAAATGAGAAAACTGAAGCTCGGGGGGGGGGGTAGGTTACTCCCCTAGTCCTGCTTGAAGTGAGATAAATTTCCTCCCTGGGTCTTCTTCAAAACTGGTTTTCTATTTATTTTGAGAGGAAAGTCAGAGTGATTTGCTCCATGGTTTTCAGGATTTTGCTTTTGAAAGGCATATCTGTCAAACCCATTGTAGGTAGAAAGTGAGACTAACGTCCTGCAGGATGGCTCCCTCATTGACCTGTGTGGAGCCACTCTTCTGTGGAGAACAGCAGACGGTCTTTTCCACACTCCGACTCAGAAACACATCGAGGCTCTCCGGCAGGAGATCAATGCTGCGCGACCCCAGTGTCCTGTGGGGCTCAACACCCTGGTCTTCCCCAGCATCAACAGGAAAGAAGTGGTAGAGGAGAAGCAGCCCTGGGCATATCTCAGCTGCGGCCATGTTCACGGGTACCACAACTGGGGCCATCGGAGCGACACAGAGGCCAACGAGAGGGAGTGTCCCATGTGTAGGACTGTGGGCCCCTACGTACCTCTCTGGCTTGGCTGTGAGGCAGGATTTTACGTAGATGCAGGACCACCGACTCACGCTTTCACCCCCTGTGGACATGTGTGCTCAGAAAAGTCTGCAAAATATTGGTCTCAAATTCCTCTGCCTCATGGAACTCACGCATTTCATGCTGCCTGCCCTTTCTGTGCCACACAGCTGGTTGGGGAGCAAAACTGCATTAAATTGATTTTCCAAGGTCCAGTTGACTGATGCCCTTGACAGCCATCTACTATTAACAAGTTACTGTGAAGATTTTGCCACTAACTAGAATTCTACCTTTTTGTAATGCTGTTTATTAGGGAAAGGGTGGACTGAGACTGGGAAAAAAGGGGGGACACAGTGATGAAACATGGCAGGAATTGAACAGATACCAGTGGTATGTTGCATGCTCAAAACAGCAGCATCGTCATTGAAGTCTGCTTGATTAAACCATAATATCTGTGTAATAATTGGATTTCAACTGCCATGCTTTTATTTTTAACCAAGTTTTTTTTTCCTTTGTAAACTTGGACAAGATTTTACAATATAGAAGAAATTTATTTGAAAGTCACTGTAAACGTGCTGTGTGAGATGGCGTTACCCAAAACATGTACGGTGTCTGGAGTGCCTGACGCGGCTAGGGTGGCGCTTTGCACAGGACTGGTGAACAGGAGACCTTAGGAACAGGGGCTTGTTTTGAAATCCGGGGCATTTTTCTAATTTATTTTTCTGACTCTCTTGGAAGGACAATATTCATATATTGTGGGATTTTTTTTTAACTTCAGTGGAATTCACTTACATAGTCACTCATCAAATACTTGGCATTTCAAACAAAGAATTTTTCCATAATTTCTTAGTCTGCCTTTTGTTACTTCTGCCTGATGTGGTTTGTCCCTTACCCTCATCTTATATGGCCAGGACTGTTTGATTAAAAAACAGCAGCTCTTAAAAGTTCTTTAATGGAGGGTGACTATTACAGCAGTAGTCATGGCCTAGGTACTATAATACCAACTTTATCTGCATATTGAATTATTTAAGATTTAAGAGTAATTAAAAATACACTGTTACTTTTTAAAACCACTTGTTTGGGTTTTATAGGGTTTCTTCTTCTTCTTCCTCCTCAAGAAAGCCAAAATTCTATGAGCCTAAAAGCAACAAATCACAATGATACAGTCATTTTTGTTCAGTCGCTTTCCACCATCTGTCACCTTCCCTTGCTGTGAAAGGAGCCCTTTAAGTTTTGAAAATGTTTGCAAATCAAACTAAATTTAAATGTGATCATTAGATATACACAAAACCAAGTGATACATCTGCAGAGATAATTTGAAATTTCTGATTTTTGAGAGCAAATGAGTGTTTACTGAGGAATAATTAAATCAGAATTTCATATGAGCTCCACCATCCCTCTCTGTTAGTTTAATTTCATTTTGATTAATAATTCTTGGATGCTCATTCTCTGTGCTTGGTACCAGAGTATCACTGCTCCCAGAATGCAGAGAATCTGTAGCTAATATAGGCCCCTGCTCGTGGAGCAAGCATTCATTTAAACTAACATCCTCATACATGGACCATCAAAGATTTGATTTACATTTTCTAATCTTTGTAAATATATGTAATTTATATGATTCTAATGTACTATATTCATACTTGAATTGGTTTTTCCATATTTTGCCTACTGGCAAATAGTTTGCCTATTTCCCGTCATTCTAACCTATTTGAATACTCTTTTCCTTAAAGTGATAAGATTTATTACTCTTAATTGCTGCTGCTTAATTTGACTTAATATTTTTAAAGTTCAGCCTGTCAGTTTTAAAATAGCTTTATTTTTCAATGGAGATCATTGTTGAGGATGAGGTATTTTTGTTTTGGGTTTTCTTTTGGTAATTTTTAAGTGATGTAAAAATCCTACAGCAGTTTTCTTATTAGTAGCTTCCTCTATTCTGTATATCTTACTCTACCTGCAGACAGAAAATGAAAGGAAAAGATGAAATTGCCTAGAATAGTGTATTAAGTGCCATCTGATCTAGCCAGAATCTCTGATGACTAGCTTTGTTGATAGAGTTGTCTTTTCAGCCTATGAGTCTATGGGCTCTGAAGAATGATAAAGGAGGTACTTGTCCCTTTTCTTGTTTTATAGCTAGAGAGTGGTTTGAGGGTTCTTGATACTCCAGGATCATCTTGTAAGGTAAATGGTATTGTACCCAGAAAGGCTGAATTTCACCTACCAAAAGAAACACAACTTTTTTTTCTAGAAAATTATGCTTTGATATCATAATTTTCCACATCAAGGACTATTTATAAATCTAGTACTTCTGCATGTGATATATGCCCAAAAGTAAGCTTACCATCTGAAGTTTCTGACTTTTACTAAACTCAGCTTAAGTGCAAGTTGAAATTTGGGCAGTAAATTCCAAGCTCTTGGAACGGGTGAGAGTGCCACCTGCTATGGCCACACATCTTTTCCTTTGGCTTCCAAATGAGGTCCTCTCCCACCCAGTCTAAGGAACCTCAGAGAGGTGGCACATCTGTAAAAGGAAACCACACTCACCTAAGCTACTCATAAGATTCCCTTATAATTTTGACTATTGAGATTTTTTTTGAAGACTTGAAAGCAACTTAGTTTGTGAAAATAAAAAACTCTAGCTCACCAAAGTAGAGTAATACATTTGAGTAAAGGTCATGTCTCCAAGGTCACTTCTTGCTTTTATGTCTGGCTTTTATGCCCCACTCGACCACTTGTACACATAAGGAATCCAATTGTCCCGGTCTCAGCCTAACCGAGATGCCTTTTTCAAATAGGTTTCCAGAAGCAAAACTCCAGTGATGTATTTCCATAGATATTTTTCTTTTCAGTTGTTTATGTCAGTTTACTACAAAAAAAAAAAGGATTCAGAGTGGATGGGGTACAACTCTGAGTATTTTTCTAGACTGAAATTTTTTATTAATAATCGGTGCTGCCGGGTCATGCATGCTGCAACTCTCAACATTTCCCTTATTTGGTTCAGCTTTTTGCAAAAAGGGCTACAGGTCACACTGCAGAGTATTAAGCTTTCTGGTGGATTTTTTTTTACCCCAACTATGGCCCAAAAGAATTAAAAATCTTTTAATATAAATAGAGAACATATTTATCATTCCTCAATAGTTAATTAGAGTTTGGTACCTTTGTGCCTCAGGGAAGCCACGTGATATAACTGGTTATAGAATTTCAGGGTTAGGGTTTAAGGAAAGGAGAAAGCCATTGGAAAACTGATGGGCTCCATTAAGGAGACTAATGAATCTGGATGCAGAAATATGCCAGGAACTGGCATAAACATGATTGTAGTAGAATTTATTTTCCAGTACCAATAGGAAAATCATTTTAAGTTATTATATATAATGTATTAGGAAAGTTGAGGTGAACTCTTCCTAAAGCTTCAATGCCTTTTGTTTTTGCTGACATAGAAAAATCTCAAACCTTTGTTATTTGGGAGCTCAGTATTGTTATTTGGGCACTTTTGAGAGTTTAAGGAGCACATTTTCTACTTAATTTATATGTACTATATGTTATAGAATTGTTACCTGCAATTCTTGGATTTTGCTCCACTTCTTTTCTTTTTGAAAGCCATTCTGTCCTTTGGATGTGCACAGGAGGTGTGGTCACACCATTCATTGTGCTGGATGAACACCTGCTAATGTCATGTGATCTTGCCGCATAACAGTGGCATTTCTGATAGGGGATTTTTATTTTAAGCCAGACGCAGGTCCATTCCCTTGGATGTTACTCTTATGTCCCCATAGTTTAGCCTTTGTGGGGCAAGAGAATGAAGTTCTTCTGCAGCTACGGACAGAGAACACCACCCTGTTGTCATTTATGACCCAAAGGTCAATGAGACAACTTCAGGGTCTTTTTAAAAGCATTGCTGAAGCAGTAAAACAAAAGAAGGTTCAGTATTTTCTTTTTAATAAAACTTACACCCTTTCAAATAAATTTTCACCCTCGTAAAGAACCCCTAAACGAGGATGGGGGCAAATATTTTTCCAGTTGTACGTAACCATTTCTTAACATGTTTCTAAGCAAACAAAAAATAAACTCAATGAAAGGGAAGTGTTTCATTTTTAGCTAAGATGGCAGATTGCTTCTCTGTATTGAATAGTCTAGAAGTTAAGGGGGTGGTCATATTTACCATGTATAGTGTTATGAGCAGTTAAATTTTATGAATATATTTGTAAAATTGTTCTTTTATATTTCATGTCAAATTAAAAAGTTTATTTCTTCACTATTGTACCTGTGGAAATACAAGCCATTTTACAGGAAAAAATCTTCAAAAACTATTAAACAGATCTCACTATGTTTGTGAGTCATTTGTCTTCAGACTCTGGTTGTCATTGGGTTCATCAGGACATTCATCAGGATAGTAAGAGGAAGATACAAATGTAGGCTTGATTTCTGCATTTCTCAAACTTCCCAGTTAATCCCAAATAGTTGAGTTTATTATTAATTGTTTTATACTCTGCACAATACATATTTAAATCTGGGTTCTGAAAATCAAAAATTTATTAAAGTTGGTGCTTATATCATCCTTTCTTGGGACATTTTATCACTGTCAAATAAATCTAATTTCTAGGAAAATTTAACCTGGATGATAGAATTAATTTTCTTCATGGTCATTATAGTCATGTTACTGCTTTTGTAACAGTCTCTCTTCATTTTTAACATAATAAGGATTGTATTAAAGCCTTCAAGCCTTAAGATGGTGTTTCTGTCATAAGAAAATATATGCATGTATGACAGTTTTTTCCTCATCCCATTGATATTCAATGATTCTTAGTATTATTGAGGGAAATAGATTTTTATTTCCCAAAAAAATGCACTTATATAATAAGGTTTTTATTTAAAAAGGTAAGTGTTCCATACTTTTATCAAATCTAAGATGCTATGAATTATAAGATGTGTTACTATAGAAAAACACATCCAGTTATAATTGTAAGATACATCCCATTCAGCAAGGCACCAAAACTGTATACGGTGGGGGGGCTGTTAACAAATGGAGCTAAGACAACTGGATATCCACATACTAAAGAATGAAGTTGAACCCCTACCATTGACCCTAAATGGATCACAGAGCTACAGCTATAGAGTTCTTAGGAGGAACGGGGGTGTGTGTGGAGGGGGAACCTTGTGACCTTAGTAAATGATTTCTTAAGATTCTACACCAAGAAAACACAACAAAATGAAAAAGGAGGTAAATTGGGCAACCAAAATTTTAAGTTTTGTACATTATTAAGAGAGTAAAAAATTCGTAAAAAAAAAAGAAAAGAAAATATGTAAATATGTGAAGCTCAGATTGGCAAGGAACTTGTGTCCAAAATGTGAAAAAATTCTTACAATTCATTAGTTAAAAATACAACTCCATTAAATAATGGTCAAGTATTTCAGTAGACTTTTTACAAAGAAGATACACAAATGGTCAGTGAGCCCATGAAAACATGTTCAAC